ATCATGTGGGATTGCAATCTCATGCCTTGCACTGGTGTTAGTGTGAACGGGGAAAATCTGCATGTTTTCTTTTTCCTGCTTCTGGAGGGTGGCAGGAGGGTACCAGCGCAATGGTAGCAGGAGGTGACGATCTTGCGTCCAGCTGCATCAGCCTCACTTTTGTTTCCTCGAGGATCACCATCTTGCTCCGCGGAAGCATCAAACTGATATCCCGCCCCGCCCCGCCTTTTATTTTATTTTATTTCCCCCTCCTTTTTTGAAGCGGAAGAACAACCCCCGGACAGGAGGAGAGAAGGGAAAATAGAAGAAAAGAAAAGAAAATTAATCCCAAGAAAATAAAAAAGGGGAGAGATGCAGCACACCCTTGCGAAACGTATAGAGCTGAGAGGCCAACCCTGGTGCCCCCAACCAGATGTACCTACATGATAGCCGGGCAGTTTCTCATGATCTTCGGCCATCGCGAGCACGCCGTAGATCGTCGACCAGGGGGCCGTTGAGCCAGGGCGTCGGGGCGTGCTTAGCCTGGCCGTTGCTGGCATTCATCCAACATAACCCTGTCTGTATGCCTGTCGGAGCGACGGCCGCCGCTGGAGCAGGGATGGGATTTCACAAACCCAATATTTTACTCCAAAACCAGGAAGAAGAAGAAAATAAAGCGGCCTCCGGAAGATTGAGAGCTGAATTCGACTGGACTGGACTGAACTAGCCGCTCACGTTTGCCAAGGGGACGGAAAGACAGGTTAGAGAACCCATGTTCATTGGGCATGACTGCATTGCATGCCTACCACGTTGCTTGGGCGAGTTGGTAAATTCCATCCATTTGCTCTGCTTAGGCATTGATTGTGATTATGTTCTTTTCTTTTTCCTCCTTGGCTTTTCCCAAAGAGAGCCGTAAACACCCCCCTCCACCCCCCTATATAGAGGCTATATCATCAAGTAATATGATGGATGCCACGTTTGGCATACACACGGAGCATGTGGCCGTGCACTTCCGGCCGGGTCTTTGTAGCCTCTTTTCTTTTTTTCTTCCCACAGCCTGGGCAGAAACTCCCCCATCCAATCCGTTGGCTGTTCTGGTTCAGATGCGATGTCGAAACCTGGGTGAGACGCAGCAGACGGGACCTGGGGTTTTATTTTGGGAGGGTAAGGTAATTACCCAGGTTAGAGTCGCATCAAACAGCCCCGTACCTCATCTCATCGTCCTCATCATTTGACCAAATCAATTTTCTTCTTGCCTTTTATTTTTATTTTTTTCACATGCAGGGCTCGAGACCGGCCGCGCGCAAAACAGCGACAGGAAGGATAATAGATGGGCAATCTGAAACTCGGTGCCCAAGCAGGCACAATCAAGCAGACAGTCAGAGCAGGTAAGCAATAGAAGCCGGGGCCCTGGGCTTCGAGACTGGCCCATTCCGGCTCCTTGTAAAATTGGCCATCTGCCCTGCGGGAATCAACCCTCTATTCGTCAACGGCGGATAAGGGATATAGAGAAGACGATGCAGAGGGATCAGCAAGGTACCGTCTAGGTAGGTAGCATCCAATACCACTTTGCCCATGGGCCCCCTCCAACTTTTTTAGTCTCGTTCTGGAGGGCTGGACCGGGCTAATCAACTGCATGCCACACCGGCTGACCCAAGCACTCGGATTCAGTAGTGCCAAGAAACGGCCGAATAGTTGGCTGCCTACCTCCCCTTGCGCATGTATGTGCGTGTTGCCTCTGCTGTCTGATTTGCCTGCTTATTTTATCTCCTCGTAAATCACACACCCCCCCAATCCCCAAATTCTCAGCCGCGTGCTCATTAGCGGCAAACGCTTCGAACCTTTTCGCATTGTGAGAGAGCCCACTGTCGCTAGTTCTACTCTGGGGCATAGGTAACTAGCAAGGCGAGCGAAGAAGGTTGATCATGCCAGCTCGACCAATGGGGTCTCATCCACGGTAGTACAGAATAAGGTAGCATGGGCAACAATCGGGCTCTTGCTTTCCCATCTCAACAACCAGGGAAAGGGGTGGGTGGTCGTATGGGTGGCGTCAAGGCGGATGGATCCCCGTGTTTTCACTGCCCATGCCATGCCACGAAGACAAAACTCATCCAGTGACATGGTCGATGCTTCCTGCTGCTACCCTACCTGCTTGAGACAGAGCAACAAGGCGGCCGAGTAGGACAGAGACACCACTCATCCTCCTGGGCACACTCACTGGCTGGGAGCGGGGAGACTGCGCGCATAGCCGAGTCAATCAGATATGATTGCTCTGTTGCGATACAGGTGGGATCTTTTAGTCAGTCGCACATCCAGATCCCTGTCAGCCGTGCGGCGCATGTAGAATAATGGCTGGTCCTGTCTGTGTAACGTCCGCGGACGGTGACTTATCCTGGGAACAGGAAGCAATTGCGGGCAGGCTGATAGGCTAAACGGGCAACGGCAGGCGGAATTGGATTGATTTTGGCCGACTATGCACATGATTCTGGAAAATGAAGCAATCAATCAATCCATTCACCTTGGCTTCTTTTTCGTTTCTTTTTCCCCCTCGCCTCTCGTCGTCAGTAGCCTATCCACCAATGGAACTCACAGATCGCCATCTCAGCAGCTCGCTTCTCCGGCTCTCAGATGCCCTGCGACCCGTCTTTTCATGGACCAGCTGAAAAGAAATGAGAGCAAAGGAAATGAAAGTACCTGGAAAGTAGCTGCCTGAGCGTGCGGGTGGGCTGCTGCAGAAGGGCTGCTGCATGTGCAGGCCAGGCTGCGTCAACGCAGTCAAGGGTCTGGCCCGGCATCGCATCGCATCGCGCATGGGGGGAGGGGTAATTGCAGCCCGTCCTCTACTCCGTCCACCCTTCTATAGCACAATCCCCGTTATATGAGCGTCCTGGATTGGTTTGGATCTGGGCGGCAGCATGGGACGCCGTGGGCTGGCCTGCCATGGCTTGGGATTGGATACCGTAGGACGGGATATACAAATACTAGCCTCGGTGCCTCGCCTCGTCTTGAGCATCCCGTTGACCTCAATCACGGCGGTGGGTGTCTGTCTGTACCTCATTATCAATCTACCCTGGCAAGAAACGCAGCCACACAACCGCACTGCTTCTCCCATTCTTCTCGCTTGTTTGCGCCTTTCTTGTCTCACTTATTAATCTATTAATACTATCCTCCTCGCCGTCTGTCGCATCTCCTTCGCAGATACCACACCCTTACGAACTAAATCTCACCCACTCACCCGTCCTGTTATCTATCCACAAGCTGCTTTTGAGTTCCGAAGCCTGCACTGGAGTGTTTGCCATCTCCATTCTTCGATCTGGTTTCGCCTTTGCGGCCTGTTTGCTCTTCGTTTGCTCTCTTACCTGTTTGCTTGTAACATCTCGTCCGCAATAATGGAAGCGCCAACGACTTTTGTAAGTCTCACCAGTCCACAGCCTAGCAGCTCCCTCTCAGCCCTACGTCCGTCTCCCCAAGGGAACCTCAACTAACAAACCCTCCAGCATCTCTTCTCCAAGCTCCCAGCCGAGCTCCGTCTCCGCATCTGGGAGTTCAACCTGCCAGCATGGCGCATCGTCCCTCTGCGGTGTGGCTCTGACATCTCTGCACCACCACCATCATCACTCGGTCCGGATCCTGACGATGCCACCACAAACCAGAGCCTCACCGGCAGCAAGCCCGCCGCCATCGACTGCTCGTCCTCGGCCCTCATCCCAGCCAACCTACACACATGCGTCGAGTCCCGAACCCAGGCCCTCTCCCACTACTCCCTCTCCTTCTCCTTCGCCCGCCAGCCCCCCCACGTCTTCTTCGACCCCCGGACCGACATCCTCTACTTCGGCCCCCGCCACGATGGCTACATGGCCGCCAACGCCCAGTTCCACACGGCCATGTCCCTCATCCGCCCCGACCACCTCGCCGCCGCCCGCCGCATCGCCATCGACGACGCCCTCTTCCAGGTCCTGACCCCGCCCTCCTCCTTGCCCTCATCATCGTCGCCGCCTCCCGGTGACCCCTCCTCCTCCTCCCCCCTCCTCTACCACTCCTCCCTCGCCGTCTCCCTCACCGCCGACTGCCTCCGCCAGCTCCGCCGCCGCATGCCCGACCTCGAGGAGATCTTCTTCGTCCCCCACGCCCCCGCCTGGCACGCCGACGACCCCCTCCTCGTCTGCGACACCCTCGCCTACCAGGTCCAGACCGCCATCCGCGACGTCTCCGACCAGCTCGCCAGCTCCGGCTGCGAGCCCTGGACCCCGCCCCGCTGGAAGATCCTCCCGGGTCCCCTGTCCGACCCGGGTCCCGGCCATGCCCCTAGCCTCGTCTGCTACTGAAAGCCGTTGAGCCTCGAGCTTGATTTACATGCCGAGCGGCTCACCTGGGAAGCGTCGGCTGGGCACCCCCCCAACGTTATCACACAAGAATGGAGGACATGTTTAGATCTATACTCCCTCCCGTACCATGTTGGGAGGATGGATGATCGAGGCACTTAAAGACTCGACAAGAGAGAAAAGATTAAAACCCAAATTGCTATACCAAAACAAAAAAGGAAAAGGAGGTTAGAGAATATCGTTTGGCGTTTGAGCGAAAAGGGTTTGGTTAGCCTGGGCCATCACATATATGGAAGCGTACATTACTGATCTTGCAGTATCCGATTGCTTTTTTTATGGGTTGTTCTTAGCCGGAGTTCCAGTTGCCCTTATTAGCCTGTTGATTGATTATTTGCTGCATATGAATCGCGGATTCTTGTACTCATCATGTATTTATGTATTCATGGAAGCGTGACTCTTCGAAGAGACACCCTAATATATTTAAAAAGAAGAGAGAACTGAACTCTATAAAATGTATGTTGATGAAGAAAGGAAAACCCCCAGTATGCAATCATAAGCTCTTCAGTATCATCACCGCGTTGATCATCATCGTAACGTACACCAATCTACTCCGTAAACAGAAACAACAACGCCATCCATACCGCTCAAAATGATAATTGGACTCTCCGTAAGAACTCCCCGCCGTCTTCCTTTTTATGTTTACTCCGACTTCTTCTTGCCATAGCCTATACCCTTTCTTCTTCCCTTGACAATTGCAGCCAAAACTTGCCCGACTGCTCCAAGATCGCCCAACATCGTGATATGCCCACGTTCCGTGGATACCCTCCCACCTTTGACGATGGAGTAACCTTCGGGTAGCATAGCCTCCTTGGCTAGCACGACACCATCACCTGGGCGGAAGAGAAGGTCGTCATACGCATCTGAATGTCGAATTGCATCTCTTCCATTGACCTGTGCCGCGTAAACGGTAGGTGTTGTCTTTCCGTATAGGACGCCAAAAGGTGGGTATTCGTTAGCAGCTTGGTGCTCGCTAGAATGTGCCAATTCTGAGCGGAACTTCTTAGTTCGTGCCAATGTGCGAGTCAAGTATTCCATATTGCGCTTGAGTTCCGGGTCAGATAACACTGGGGCAACGTCCCCAGTATTCGAGGGCTGTGTGGTTGACGACTCGACCCCGGATTGCATCTGTGGCGCAATCGTGCGCTCCTTGATTGTCCCTTGGATCGAGTCAAAGTTCATGCTGAAGCGCTTCTCTGATAAACTTTCTGCGCGTGCCCTCAGAGACGTGGGTAGGAACGAGGTGAACGATGACGTGCTCGAGGATGGCCCAATCGGTTGATTGAACGGGGGTAGAGGTGGCTGCACACTGGGACAAAGGTGCCATTTGACCCATTCCTCTGGGTTGTAAAAGTCCACTGGATATGGCTCTCCAGTGTTTTTGTCGACAAAACAGGAGCCATCTTCGGGAAGGAACACGTAATAGGAGCGGATGGTGAAGTTGACCTGAGCTGAGAGGAGCTTTTCGTTGAAGAGGATGACGTCGCCATTGCGGATAGGACCGAGGATGTTGATGCAGCGCTGGGGTGTGCCGGCAAACATGACACCGGAGAAGAGGTTTGGCTGTTGGTTCACGGCGTGTCGTGCGATGAGCCCACCCATGCTGTGCGCAATGAGAAGGGCGCCTCGCGATTCGGGAGCAGTGCCAGGCTTGTTGGAAGGTAGCTTTGCCAAGAACTCCTGAAGTTTGCGGGAAAGTATATATGGGCTGAGCCTCCAATCATACCCATAATCCCAGACCCGCAGAGTACCATTGCGCACATTAGTACACGACCTTAGCTTTCTGAAGAGTTTTCGTGACATGTCCACAGGCCCCATGTGCGAGAGCATGCCTGAAGGAATGATGGTCTCCTCCATTCTCTCCTCAGCCTCATCATCCAACCCGATCTCCAAGTTTACTTTCCGCATATTGAGTCCAATCTTGACGGGAGCCCAGACTTGTTGATGAGGGGCTTTGGCCGACCGAAGCACCGAACCTCGAAGCCCACCCATGATGACAATGTCACCTGTTAGCTCTGCCAGCACGTCATCTAGGGTGGCGGGACCATCCTTGCTACTGCTAGATCCCTCGTTAAATTTGGGTGAGCGGCTGGCAGGTGCAAATGTTGGTGTCTCCTGAGAACGCATATCCATCGAGTTCAGGGAGATGAAAGATGGAGTGTGGAGCTTCGCGAGACTGGGCATTTTGAAGTTGGGAACCTCTGGCAGGCTCTCTTTGATGGCCTGGAACCGCATGTTGACCATATCTCGTACATCATGAAACTGCTCGTCGTTACCAAGCGAAGAAGTACGAGACAGAGTGTGGTACAAAAGGCTGTCGTCGGATGTGACTCGACGCAGCACGCCCGGCCGGGATTGTGTGGAAATCCGGGGTGAATGGATGGAGCTGGAGCGTCTAATTGAATCAGGCCGTGGGGAGAAAGAGGACTGAACTTTTCCATCGAGACGATTGTCTGATGGATGCTCAGGAATAGGCGAATGCACTGGCCGTTGGAGTGGTTGCTTTGGTGCCGGGACGGTTGAAGAAGTCTTTTCGCCGAAGGCGGAGAAGAAGTTTGACGGAAGTGACGGGAGAAGATGGCTGGGCGAGCTGAGAGATGGAAAGGCCTTCTGTAGTCTCCTCAGAGCATCCTGTCCTGCAGAGCGGGAGCGGTTTCTCGAGTGCGCAAAGGCTGAGTCTAGAACGGCTATGCTATGTCGTGACCGAGTTGACTGCCGCCGACGAGGGCGATTGATAGGTTTGTCAAAACCATCATTCGGGCCTGAGACGTCGTTTGGCGCGGATTCGGACGAAGAAGGTGGAGGCGTGGTTTTGGCTGGTTCACTTCCAGGTTTGGTCTCAGGCACTTGAACATCCAAGGCCGGTCCATCAAACTGAGTAGGGCTTGTCGGCTCAGGAGACTCACAGAGAGGCGGGGCTTTCACAGGACTGCCGAGGCTCGCTGCTATGGGCGAGTTGGGATCCCCGACCGTTGTGCCATCGTCGTTGTCTCCGCTGTCATCCTCTATGGGCGGTGGCATACCTAATATGCCGCCGGGCCATTTCTCCAGTGCCGCTGCCTTCTCTACTGCCGGCGTGCGAGGCGAAGCCAGATGGCTCGCTGTGGCACTCATGGCCGGCTGGAGGACTGCCTGGGCGCCATCCTGGTCCTCAATCTCAACCCCATCCTCCAAATTGGCCTCATCGTCGTCGTCGTCATATTCATCTTCTACAACAATCCGGCACTCATCATCGGGGCCGGCTGAGCCGAGAGGCAGAGTGATGCCCAGATCGAGCGGCGCTTGGCCTGCAGGCTGGGTCGCAACAGCAGCATTCATTCTTCAACGCTGCTCATAGAAAGTGAAAGCAATGTGACCAAGCTCTGGTTTTGTGAGAGAGAGAGAAATAGAAATGGTTCAAGAATGCAGGGTTAAAGAAGCAGCAGCAACCGACGGAAGCTGCGGAGGCGAGCCGAAAGTGGGCGCCTCACGGGGTTCAGTCCAATTTAGACAAGGCAACGCTCAGCTGGCGGTATGTAGTGTCCTTTTCGGGATTTGTGTGCGCAGCATTACTGGAAGGGGCAATCACCAATGAGCACTATTGAGCCTCTCGGAAGGCGCTTGAATCAGTGATGTCAAGCGCGGCGGGCGAGTCGGTGCAGGCAAGTAAGCAGGCCGTGTGGTGTGTTCATGGAAGCCAATCGCTCTTTGGATCGGGTTAGTCGCGAGGCACAGAACGGCAGATCTGCACGAGTGATGAAGTAATTGGGAAAAGGAGCAAAAGGCAAACTCTGGATTCTCCTGATGGGGAAGACGTCATCTAATATACCTAGCTTAATGGGATTGCGATTAATTGCGGGTGTTTCCTATCTCAACCAAAGTGTTGTGACGGCCGCTTGCTTATTTGCTATTATTATCGTAATAATAGTGTGTGCGCATGTGCTGCAAGGAACGCGCCCGCCATTTCTATTTATTGCGCCTCCAGGGGGGGTGACATCGTGGCATGATAGATTGGATGGTATTACGGTGTGCTGGATCTGGCCAACCGCGTGCCTGGACCATGGACGCTGCACGGGGGGATTCCAGAAGCCCGCGCCACTCACTAATAATCAGTGCAGTCCCGAGATGACGGGCCAACACCAGAACGACGGCAGTCATCCATGGACGGCTGCTGTGATTGGGTCCCAGCGTCTTCAGCCCGCCGTACGGTGCTGGAAACGGTCTGTGAGCCTCCATGCAGCTGGTGCACTGAAGTCCCCGGTTGGCCCTGGGAACACTGTCTCGAGCCTCGGCCATCCACTTCCTTATCGCCTAACTGAGCGGTGTCAGGACGAACTAGAGGCTCGTAGCGCAATGCTGTGTGTAGCTGACCATGAGCGAAGGATGACCGTACATCCAGCCAACAGCCAATCACGCCCGTGTCCATTGCCATATTTTCCCCCATTGGAAAATATTAGATCAGCGTCAGAAGCCAAACTGGATTTTCCGGTCACCTCGTCCGCTGCCACATGGACGAACCTGTAATACCGCCGTGCCTTACAATATGGATAGGGCCGCTTCTGGATCCCTGCAGTCCCGTTCTGGCGCACGGCGCGTCTAGCTGCCCAATGCTCGTTCTTAAAGCTAAACTCGGCTCAGAGAAGAGGCCGCTGGCAACGGGATGTGGTGCAAACCTCCATGCCCGATACCAACGGGTTACTCCCTCACATGCGCATTCACACTCGCCCACTCCCACGAACATGCCTCGACCGCGGATGCCACCTGATGATCGGTAATGGCTTAGGCGCGAAAGCATCAATGCCTTATTACCTTACCTAATTACTTACCTACCTATTCATGTCCGATCTCGGTGGGGGCCCCCGCAATCCAGTAGCACTCCCGCAAGTGGGAGTAGGTTTCATGTTAGCAGATACCTCGGGCCATATACCCCCGTGGCAGTGGGTGGATGTACCTCCGCCCCAACCTCAACAACTGCCATGTCCGGACTCAACCACCAATGACGAAAGTCGGAGCTCACATGTTGATGCCAAAACCTCTGGCCCGTGTCTCGGCTTCGCAATTGGTTTGGTCTGGGTTGCATCGGTCTAGCTTCATCCCGTCTGCTTCATTCCGTCTCTTCGTTCCTTAGATCCCCAAACACCTCAACCTCCCCGCCTCGATCTCTCCCGCCTCCCCTCCCCTCCTCCTCCCCTTCTCTCCAGGCCTGCTCACCACCCCCTCCCATCAGAGAATGACAACTCTCCAGCCAAGGCCTCCGTACACGGACGCCGAGCTCGCGGAGCTCTATCCTCCCCAGCTCCAGCTCCAGCTGGTCCAGATTCTCCTCCGCCATGGCGAACGCACGCCCGTCACCCCTCGTTTCACCAACACTGGCCTGCCCGCCTACTGGTCGTACTGCAATGCCGCGCGCCACCTGCGGAGCGCCATCCTCGAGGACGACTCGGGCAAGTTCTCCTCCCTCGAGTGGAAGCGCCGTCTCGAGGCCTTCGGCCCCAATGACCTCCCCGTCTTCGCCGCCGGCCCCGGCGGCGACCTAGACACCGTCTGCGACATGGGCATGCTCACCGACCTGGGCCGCAGCACCACCACCGCCCTCGGCAGGCGCCTGCGCCACCTCTACATCGACCGCCTCGGCTTCCTGCCGCCCAACCTCACCTCCTCCGAGTCCTTCTACTTCCGCACGACGCCCATACCGCGAGCCCTCGAGTCCCTCCAGCAGACGATCCACGGCCTATACCCCTCCCACACTCGCTCGCCCGACCTGCCGCCCCTCACCATCGTCGGCCGCGCCCCGGGCGAGGAGACCCTCTTCCCCAATGACAGCAACTGCCGCCGCTTCGCCGCGCTCTCCCGCGCCTTCGCCCAGCGCACCGCCGACCGCTGGAACGACTCCGACGAGATGGCCTACCTGACCAAGAAGATCGGCCGCTGGATGCCCGAGGACAGCCCCAAGGTCGCCGTCGACTCCCACCCCCGCCTCAGCGGCATCATGGACACCATCAACGCCACCGACGCCCACGGCCCGGACACCAAGCTGCCCAAGGAGTTCTACGACCCGCGCGCCCGCGAGATCATCGAGGGCATCGCCGTCGAGGAGTGGTTCTCCGGCTACCGCGAGAGCCAGGAGTACCGCACCCTCGGCATCGGCGGCCTGCTGGGCGACATCGTCACCCGCATGGCCGGCAGCGCGGAGAACCCCCCGGCCACCGCCGCCGGCGAGTACCAGCAGCCCAAGAAGCCCTCCGACCGCCCGGCCGGCATCCGCTTCGCCATGAGCGGCTGTCACGACACCACCCTCGCCGGTGCCCTCGCCAGCCTCGGCGCCCTCGACGGCGGCTGGCCCCCCTTCACGAGCCACATCGCCTTCGAGCTCTTCCGCCACGCCTCCACGCCCCCCTCGCCCCCCTCCTCCGCCTCCGCCTCAAAGTCCCCAACCAGCTGGATCTCATCCCTCTTCACCAAGTCCGGCTCCTCCTCCGCCGCTGGCATCGGCCGCAAGAAGACCCCGGACCTCTCACCGGCAGAGAAGCAGAGGTTGGAGGGCTACTACGTCCGCGTCAGGTTCAACGACAAGCCCGTCACCATCCCCGCCTGCAAGGCTCCGGGGAACCACCTCGAGGGCGACCAATCCTTCTGCACCTTGGTACGTCCACTAGTAAACTTTCATCATGCATCCAAAGGAATAAAGCTGACGAGACCATGACAGGCCACCTTCAAAGCTGTTGTTGACAAGTTCACACCCGAGAACTGGAGGGAGGAATGCCATGCCTCTGGCGCTCCAGCGTTCCCCTCCAAGCCCGAGCCGGCAGGCCACTAGTTTCTATTCTACACCAAGCCCGATAGGTTTTGGTGCCTCTTTTAATACATTCACAGAAACGGGGATAAAATCGGCTTTGACTACAAGTTACAAATCACTTCATTCTTCTAGTTTAGAGAGACCATTCGATAGATGGAAACGAGACTGGAACTGTCTTTACCTCTGCCCATGATTTTCTCTCTTCCTCTTCTTTTCTAGCATTACAACAGGCGTCGTTTCTTTAGGTATGCATAGATGATTCACTTCGAACAGATTGATCAGGTGCAGTACATAGTGAACGTGAAAAAAAAGAATCTTTCTGCTTATGCTTACAAAGTATACTAATGCGAAGACAAAAGCTTGACGCACACAACTATGCAATACCGAGAATTTTGACAATAGCTCCGACTGTCCTCGACCTCCACGACCTCATGCTATAAACCGCTCCCTCATACCCTATACGGCACAAGTGACAGTTTTCAACCGTTTGTTTTTGTTCCAAGACACTATTTCCGAGTTTCATTGATCCTTTCACACCGTTATGTCCACAACATTCTCTCATGCCTGACCACTACCAATTCAAAGGTAGCCGACCATGCTCGCACTTGCTTGCGAATTTGTGTAGCACGCAAGGAAACGAATTGCAGGAAACAAGACGTAAATATCCAATAAATACACATCATACACCAGAAAAGGAGGGTGGAATTACCGACAAAGAAAAAGGTAAAAAAAAATTGAGAAGGCCGATAGTATTAGAGCGAGAACTGGGACGTTTTCTCGCAGCAATTACAACAATGTAAATTTCCGTCATTTTGTGAATCAGGTCATTAGTTTGCCACTTCTTCCTCGACCAATCCATTCAGGCCTCCCTGAAGGGAGAGGCCAGCAAAGCCACCACCAATGCCACCAAAGCTGGACTGGTATTGGTGGCCACGTCGTTCACCATCGCTTCCGTTGCTACCGGCGCCACTGCTGGGGCTGGTGCCTCCGTTTTCGAAGCCGGGGGCAAGCAGTGGGAGGCTGACAGCACGGCTGTGCTGAGAGCGAGAATTAGGAGCGAGCAGGCCGCCAATGGTTGGGGCAGTTGTTGCCACGGCACTGGTCACGGTATAGCCATTCGAGATGCTGGCCGATTGCCCATGGCCACCAATGGGAGGCTGTTGGGGTACCTCAATAGACAGATCCGGGGGGGACTGCTGAGCGGTGCCAAACAGGGCATTCTGCTGCACCGTAAGCTGCTGCTGCTGTTGCTGCTGCTGTTCGTGCGCCTGCTGAGACAATTGGCTCAGGTACATCGTCAGAGGGTTGCCATTTGGAGGAAACGAAGTCTGTTGCTGAGGTGAAGCGACGGTGGGCGAGTTATCGTTTTGGGTAGGGGCAGGGGATACGCTGCCGTCGCCGCGGGAGGCCTGGGGGTTCTGGGCCTGGCGGGGAGGGTTACCGCATCGATCCTTACCAAAGTTGACTTTGAACTTCTTGTATTCCTCTCGGCCTCGGATTGCCTCAATGGCTTTAATCGCGTTGGCAATATTGGTGAAGTTGACGAAAGCACAACTCTTCTCTCGGAGTGCGTTGACCAGCTCAATCTCGCCAAACTCAGTGAAGTCCTGTCGGAGTCGTTCCTCGGTCCACGTCTCATCCAGGTTGCCAATATAGACATTTCGAGACGCACCACCGCTGACAGCCATGGCGATGGCGGGAGGGAGAGCACCGGAATGCTTTCCCCATCCAATCTTGAGACGACGGTTGTGAATCATCAGGCCCTGCAGGTTGCTCAGGGCGTAGAAGGAGGCAGCGGCTGTGGGGTCAATGAAAGTGACGAAACAGATGTGCTTGTCGGGGATGTATCGGATGTGATGAAGCAGACCGCCCCTTACAACATTGCAAATCTCCTCGATGGTTGTCTCAGGGTGGATGTTTCCGAGGTAAATAGTTCGGTTACCCAGGTTGTTGATACCACCAGCGGTTGTGGCCACAGCAGCGGCAGCGACTGATTGCTGAGCCAGGGCGCTCGAGATAAGATCCCGGTCAGCGCCAGTTAGCATGTGAGCGTAGCCTGGAGAAATACCAAGATACTGTGCTGCATTTTGCTGCTGTGTCTTTGACACATAGGCGCACCTGTCCTTGCCGTAGTAAACTCGTCGGGGAGCTTGCCATTTAGCCTCTTGGGGAAGCTGCGAAACGGCCTTGATGGCATTGGCAATGGAGAGGTAGTGAACAAAGGCAATGTTCTTCTCACGGACGACCTTGATTGTGTCAATGGCGCCAAACTTGCCCAAATCCTCACGGAGTTCCTCCAAAGTGATCTCCTCAGGCAAACTCCCCAGGTAGACATTTCGGGAGGCCCCGGACTGCTGAACAGCAAGCGCCACAGAGGTCGGGACCTGGGAAGGCTTGCCCCAACCCACCTTAATATCTTGACCCTTGATGCAGAGCTTCTTCAGAATAGCATCCGAGTGAAAGTGGGTTGCGGAACTGGCATCCAGGAAGGAGATGAAGGCGCAGTTCTTGTCAGGCAGAAGTCGCACGGACTCGATCTGACCGCTTCTAACGTGGCCAAGAATCTCCTCGGCAGTTGTGTCAGGAGGAATGTTGCCCAAGTAGACGGTTCGGCTGGTACCGGTGACAGCTCCGGCATTCATTGCGACTGGAGAAGTGGGCCCCATCTGCGACTGCATGGAGAAGGTACCAGTCGGTGACTGAGGTGGAGCATAGAATTGGGGAGCGCCGTATGCTGAAGGTGAAACCATAGCTTGATAAGTCTGGGGAGACATGCCGGCTTGTATAGGGCTGGTTGCACCGTTTTGCTGCCCATTGCCCTGGTGCGGTTGCTGTAAGGTTTGGATGTTCTGGAACTGAGCGTTGGAGAAGGCAGCAGGCGTTCCAGGCTGGAATGGGCTACCAAGGAGGAGCTGTGACGGCAAGAGAGGGGTGAAGTTCATGTCGAATCCTGTTCCAGGGGTCTGCATATCGTTGGTGGGCAGCGCCTGGGCCTGGTTCATTGCATGGGCGCTCAATGTGGGCACGTTTCCACGACGAGGATGGCGGTCGGCAAAGCCAGAAACATTCGAAGCAAAGGCACCATGGGAAAATCCGGTTTCGCTGTTGGAAGGCTTCGATACATGACCGAGTCGTCCGGCACCGGGCCTCTGGCCTACGGCACCGTTTAGGTCCTGCATTCCGAGATAATGAAGGGGGACCTGAGTGTCCCTCCCAACTTGAGCGAAAGTCGCCGTTTTGAATCCAAACTGTGCCCTAAGAAAGGCACGGAGAAAAAGCTAGTAAAGGAGCCGGTATCCAGCTGACCAGAAATAAGACAGTTGAGCAGAAACGAAACCAAGTCCAGCTAGAAATTAGGTGATATCAAGCCGTGAGAGGTCAAAGAGTAGTCGGATCTGTCTTCGAAACCAGGGAAAAGAAGATTTGTCGAGTTAAAAAAAAAAGCTATCCTGCTCTTGAAGGGTCAAAAAGTATATATAAATAGAGAGTCCTTGAGCTGAGTGATCTCAAAGGACATGAAATGTAGGTCGTATATCCAAATATTCGATCGCAACAGAACCTTCGACGAACAGTATTACCCCCGAACGGTGGAGAGCCAAAGCAGAAAAGTGAGCTGACGCAGGCCAATGGTCGTCTGTAACGACAGTGCGAAGAATATATTGTCCAGAAGGCAAAGGTGTATAATATCAACGGTTGCGTGTCCGGGCAGATGTATGCGAGAGGCAAATAGCGGGAGCTCAACCAACAAAGGCGAACACTGTCGGTCGGATCTCAATGGAGCGCGCGGGAAGAAAAGGACGATAAAAATGTATATAAATAAGTCGAGCGAGTGACGAGCAAGTTCGAAGTAGAAGTAGGGAAAAGAAGCTTGATGCTAGGACGGTACAGCGCAAGTCATCACCTGTATAATAAGTTGTCAGAGAGATGGATTGAGAGAACAAATGCAAGGTCGCAGAGCTGAGAGCTTGAGGCGCATGATCAGGTAGGGAGGCGGGCGGATCGGGAGGGTCACCGGGAAGGATGATGAGGATCTTGGAGGAAGAGAGAGGACAGAGGTGAGGTTTTGACGATTTGTCTTTTGGGGAGTTGGTCGCTAGGGTCTCAGACCCTGGGGTTAAAGCACAACCGGGTTTCCTTACCATGAAGGGGATGGGCAGGCACAATGGCAGGTCCAAAGCAAGAAGAGAAGGTATCTTACCACCAGTTCCTGTCTCAATGCGTGTAGAAACAGAAGGCACGGTAGTCCTGCAGAGGAGGATATATCCGAAGCAGGAAGAACAGAAATGCGGACTCTGGACCGTAGAGCAAGAAGGAGCAGAAGTAGTGGCTTCTAGGAGTGGAAAAGCAAGAAGACAAAGAAAGGGAAAAGGGGACCCTGGAAAGGTGGTCAACGAAACTGGGAGCAAAGCCGGGGATAGCCAAGCCGTGGGCGACGGGTGAGCGCAAGACAAGGCAAGGTGACTGAAGAAGCGCGGCAGCTGCACCTGGGGGGTGTGGATTCAAAAAGAGCGAGTGGGAGAAAGAAAGATGAGCAATAAAAACGGATTAGCGAAAGTGAAAGAGAGTGAAGGGGGGGAAGGGCAGGTAGCTAGCGGTGGGAATAGCAAGAGAGCGTGCAGAGAAGGAGAGGAAAGGCAGAGGGGGGGTCGTGCGGCGAGTGGACAATTGCCCAGAATGGGGTTGAGGTTGGAATTCGTCGTGCTGGATATTATTTAGTTTAATGACAGCGGGCAGGGGTTCAGGGGGTGGGATGGAGCTCACTCATCCATACCTCGACCGCAGGTACCTCCATCCTCCAGCACGGGCGGTGGCCCAGCGAGTGCCAGCAAGCAAGGGCCCTGTTTGGTGGTCCCCAGCCCAGCCCAGGCACACAGTGCACACCCGGCCGGGACATGCAGAGCGCCAGGGGGTTCTCGACCCCAAACTCTTCCCGTCTCCGAGGGCGTTGTGAACGCTGGGACCTACCTAATTCTCTCACGGACAATAATGATAACACGTACTAACGGCGGTGGCTGTAGGTA